TTTTCTTCACTCAATTAAAAATTTAAATTTAAAATTTTTAGTTTAAAATTGTAACCTTTTAATCATTAAATAATTCCACTAGAATTATAATTAATTTGTTATAAAAAAAAAAGGGAACTCTTCCTTTTTCATTTAAAAATTAGTGAAGAAAGAGAAAAGCAAGTAAAATTGTCTGTGTCTAGGTTCATCCTCTGCAAGTCATAGTCATCCATCAAAAACACACACAGCCTATAAAACCCACCATTCTTGATCTTGTCCATACTTATCAAAACTCAACAAAACAAGCTCATTTTCCTGAACCCCCTTTTTTTCCCCTACTCACTCTACTCCAATAATAATCTTACATCTTCCCCTTTCCATTTCCCACCGTCCTCCCAGGAAAAGAAGAAGAAGAAGAACCAAAACACGTTGGTTCTCTCTCTTTAATTGCGCCAATGCCTGCCCTTTTTGCCAAAACGCCTCTCCTTTCTCACTCCTTGAACGGTTCCCTTACTACCCATTTCGTCTCCACCCCTAAATTGCCGGTTTCTCTTAGTTTGAGGTCCAGTGCCAGACAAAAAGGGGTCGGGGTCCGAGTCAGGGTCGGGGCAGGTTTGATCGAACCGGATGGCGGCAAGCTGGTGGAGCTCCTTGTGGAGGATTCGAAACGGAACATCAAGAAACGGGAGGCGGTGTCGCTTCCTAGGATCAGGTTGACGAAGAGCGACCTGCAATGGGTGCACGTACTGAGCGAGGGCTGGGCAAGCCCGCTCGGCGGATTCATGAGAGAATCTGAGTTCCTCCAAACTCTTCATTTCAACTCGCTCCGGCTGGATGACGGGTCCGTCGTCAACATGTCGGTGCCGATCGTCTTGGCAATCGATGATTCGCAGAAGCATAACATCGGGGAGTCCACCCGGGTCGCTCTTGTTGACTCTGATGACAACCCCATTGCCATTCTTAGCGAGTAAGAACAAAAATCTAATTACAATCATTTTAACTTTTCTTGTAGCTTAAAGCATAGATAATTTATGGGTTTAGCTTATATTTTCATAAAAATTGCTCTTTTTTTTCATTTTATGATAGGAAGGTTTGCTTTCTCTTTACTTTTGCTTGAAAATAGACAATTTATGGTTCTTTTGGTTTAAATTTGGGATGACAGAAAATCAGAACGTAATTAAAATGCTAACGCAAGATAGATTTATTAAGGGTATTTGAACAATTTCATAGGCAGTCTTCGGTGTTTTAAATGCTAGGAAATCCTGATTTTCACATTTCTCTTTAAATTTTATGTTATGATGAATTTTTAGACTCCCGCTGCCAGAGCTGACTTGGTTATGGTTTATTCCTTTCTGTGGAATATGCTTCTAAATGTAATTGAGCATTACGGATGATGCCATTTTAAGCGTGTTAAAGTGGATAACTTTCACCATGCATTGCATCTTTTGTGTTGCTGGATTTTGACTGTGGGCAACATAACATGAATCTATGATGACTGCTATCTGCTGCAGTAACGAATTGGTGTCCTGTGGATGAAAATGATACCATTAAGCCTAATTCAAGTTTATCATCCATTTTTATTATTGTTGTTTATTTGTTTTCTTCTTTGGTTAACTACTCTTTCAGTGTTT